TACTTAGCACATAGTAGAAAATTCCAAGGAGTTTTACGATCAATATAATGTAGTGACTGAAACGCTTAATTAATGTAGCGAGTTTAATAGTTGATAAGATTTAGTTTGGGAAGTATTTTGATGATTTAGTGTATACTATATAAATAAGGATTATTAAACTAATTTTACAATTTAATTTTGCTTAGCTTATCAAAGGTTTTTTATTTAAATTAATGTTTAGAATAATATTGTATGTAATTTTCAGTTACTAAATTATTAGTAATAGTTTAAGACGGCTTGGAAAGTCTCAAAGGACCTGAGTTTGAAATATCATACTCAGATTGCTCCTCCGTATGTGGCCAGACGACAAGGATATTTAATTCTCCTTGCGAACAACCAAATAATGTATGTAGAGATCAAGTCATAATTATTTTTATTAAAAGTAGGTTACCAATCAAAAACCATTTATTGTAATATACATTACAGGAAAACGAAAGTGAACTTTCGATATAATGCCAGAGCATATTTATCTTTTTTTTTTATCAACTAAAACATTCATTAAAAGATATTTGTTTTAAATTAAACATTCGTTACAGTTTCATTTCTACTACTGACACTGTAATATGAAGTCAATTGCTTTACAGTAGCAGTGAGTTGTGCACCCTTGTTGAATTCCTATATAAAATCTTCACATAGACTGGAATTTAATTGTAACTATCTTTAACATTTCACATAATTTTAGATATCATGATCATATAAAACTGAATTTACTGTCGATGTTAATCTATAATTTGTATCTTAAATCCTTAATATAGTTTGTCTTGCCTTCTCTCATTTTCCTTTCACTAATCAAATCCCCGAAGCAAAACTAACTCCCGTAGAGGGCAACCAAGAAACACCATCAATAAATTTACCAACGCTAAAATAACTTGCCTCTTCGAACCCAATCAGGTGAAACCCTTGCCATGTAACCCTCTTGGAAACTCTAGCTTTAGGACCATAGTTATTGAACTCTCCAAAGTACAATGTCTTCAACACTTCATCTCCAGAGTTTAACCACCCTGCCCATCCTTCCTCCGCTATGGCCTCATCAATATAACTTTCCATCACTATAGACCTCGAGTACTCCTTCCACGGCCGTCCCAAGTACGAGCTATACCTATGTTTCACCCCTGAAAAATCTACATCCGTAAGGATCCTACAACTATGAAGGGCAAATCCGGTATTTTGACGCTGGTCCGTCCTCCCGTTAGCAAGAATAACGTTGTAGGCTTTGACATCACTAGGGCGACGCAAGATTAGGTTGCAGCTTTGGAAAACAGCTGCAGCGTTTCCGAATATGAAATCTATGGTTCCGTAAATATCGCATTCTCTATAGAACTGGCGTAGAGCTGCTGCGTAGAGAGTGTCTTGATAACCTGAGATGCTACATCGATATAACACTGCCTGGTCTGATGTGATGCTTAAAGCTATGGCTTGTTTTCCTCTTGGCCCTGCCGTGTTCTTGATTCCGATATCCCGTGCGATAAATCCATCACCCGTAACGGCTGCAAAAATGTTGCACCACTTTGTCAACTTATCACATATCCGTTTAACAAACAAAATATTTTTGGAAAAAAAAATATTTCACATAGATAGATTTTTTCGGTTTTTAAATTTGATATTATTTAAAAAGTAATTTATAAGTTTCAAAAATAACAGTTAATTTAATTTAATAATTATTAGTTTAATTTTATCAAAACTGGTACAAATTCAATGTATTTTTAGTGTGAAAAAAATGAAAACTCTTAAAACAAAATTATCGATGTGTTTTAACACAATCCTTAAGAGAGAACTCACCAATTTGTTAAAAGTTTTGGCCAAAAGTAATTAGATGAAAGACGCTCTTGGTCTGTCCTTTTTTTATTTGTGGGCTCACAGACACGTGCCAACCCACAATTGATCAATTTTTAATTTTAATTTTATAAATCAGAAAACGAAAAAAAAAAAGAGTAAGAAACTTGAAAACGTTTTTACAGATAATGTTGCCCTAAGAGTACTATTATATGTATGCAAATAAATGAATGCATGTGTAACTAACTCATCGTAGCGGTGTCAGGCACGGAAGTTCCTCCGGCTGCACTATCATCGCCGACAATCACCGTCAGGTCTTTGCCTTCTCCGATCAACGTGATTTCATCTTTCTCGATTCTTACTTTCTCTTTGTAAATACCTCTTTTCACGTAGATGATAAATCTACCATTACCACTAGCAGCGTTGACAGCATCCATCACGGTCCGGTAATCCCCGGATCCGTCTTTGACGACTAACACGTGTGCTCTGCTTCTAGACGTGCGGCTTAGAAGAAGCTTCCGTTCTCCAGCAGAGACCCACCGTGGAAGAACGGTTGGTTTTGGATTTTTCATGAATGTGTCGACAAGGGCTAAGGAGTTGCTGATGAGTCGAGAGAGGTGGTCCATTTTCTGTGTTATGTGGCTGATGGCGGAGGAGGAGGAGGAGCCACCAGAGTCTTGGACGGAGTCTTTGCATGATTGTTGGAAAGTCATGGCGGCGGAGAGCCATGTTTGGACGTCGTGTTTGGTGGTGTGACGCTTTCTCGATGAGCTCTTGAGAGCTTCTGTTGCTTGCAGAAGTCGTCTTGTAGACATTTTCATGAGCCGTTCACATGAATCTGTAACGTTAAAAATAAAATAAAATATCTGTAATGTTAAAAATAAAATAAAAAATCTGTAACGTTAGATGACAAGATAATTAATATTTTCACCTTTGAATAATGGTCTTTTCTTTTATTTATTTTAAATCAAATGAAGATCAATATTAATTTGTGGATAAATATTCAAAAACTGTTGATCATACGTACCGAAACTTTGTACTTGCATGATTTTTCAAAATCATTAGGTAGCTTTGGTGGAGAGATAAAAGAGAAACACTTTTAACTACTCTTTATGAATACTTAAAAAAAATTTCGTAACCAAGTAGATGGTATTTCTGGAGGGCATTTCTGTCATATAATATACTACATCTAAAATCATATATATATATATATATATATATATATATATATGACTGGAAGTAGGAAATCAAAAATGAAATATGTGTATTTAAATGGCCGTAAAGCACAAACTAAGAAGCATGTGTGTTGTGAGTTTACTCTGTCGTGACATTTGATTTTGTATAACGAACTAAAGATGTTTGTTATAATCATCATTTGAAGAAACGGTGTTAGATTATGTTGTGTACCTGCAACCAAAGGTGAAGGCAAAGTATTTGTGGAATCGTCTAGAGAAACAACTTCGTAGGAACCCATCGAAGATGAGAGAGGGGGAATTAGGTTACTGGAATCAGAGATAGTTTTGTTGACAAGGAAAGACACAAAGTCAAGACCATGAAGAGATCCATGTCGAAACTCTTGTAAGTTTTGGAAACAAAGTGAAGTGTACTGTGTAGAGCTACAATGCCTTTGCAATTGGTTTTGGTAAGTAAATGGCATACGTCCTGACGCGTCAACAAGTAGAAGAGCCTTGACCAATAATAACCCAAATAGCACCATATCAGTAATACCCATTTCTATTATAAAAATTGACTCTTTATTTTTTTTTTTGATATCCAAATGACTAGGAGATTAGCATTAATTTATAGAGGGGGATGAAGATAATTTTAGCTGATGTGGTGAGTATCTGGTGAGTTAGATTAGCTGTCTACCCTTATTTTCATAGAGTAGTTTAAGACTTGAGTGGCTTTGATGGGATAATGAACTCTCACTATCTTTAGTTTGTTTTCTTTAAAAAAAAAAACACTTTTTTCTTTGTTGGACAACTTGATTCAACATCAATTTTCGGATACAGTTAACCCATATTCATGTTTAGTTAGTTACACGTATATTCTGAAACAATTATTGAAAAGATTTATGAGTTGAAATGATGAGATGGAAGCTAAGATAAGTTGACAACTATCACTAACTGCTAAATGAGACTATTTAGTTAAAAACTAAAAACAAAATCAAATTTATTGATATTGTTTAAAATAGAAAACGAGGGCCCAACCGGGTTCGAACCGGTGACCTATTGATCTGCAGTCAATTGCTCTACCACTGAGCTATGGACCCATTTTGTTTTATGGATGTGCAATACAGATGTACAATACACGCGAACACAAATTAGGTTTCAGGGAGGGTCACACACATACATGAATCAGTTCTTATTTGGTAAGAAAATTATGTGGCATGCTTTAACCCAAAAACTTATTGTCTCATCCCATTCCCATGTAATCCATTTTGGTATCATACGGTACTATATATATTGATGTTAGTTGTTTAGTTGCAACAACTCGGTTGAATTAAGTTCCGTTTAGTTAATTATACGAAGGAATGATAAAATGTTAAATATATTTGTTAATTCATGTTTTGTGTAGGGTTTCTCTCCAACAATTTCAAACTAACATACGAATTCTTACTTCTCACACATCACACCAACTAGTGTAAACAATAGTGATGTGACCACCAGAGCCGGACGCTTTTAAATTCCATTGGAGATAAACCACAAACTAAACCTTCCAACCAAGGGCTTCTAGTACAACATCTCTTACGTTTTTTTGTATCAAAAATCAAACATTTTATAAAACTGCACATGGTCAGCCTATAATATGTTAATCTCATTAACGCATAGTGATTAAAATGTAAATGTGTAGATAAATTAAACGAGAGAGACGAAAAAGGGAGGGGAAGAAGAAAGAAATGGAGTGTATTAGATGAAGACCATGTATTTGGGTGTTTCTTAGAGAATAATAGACCTGCCTCTGTTTCAGGTGTTACAATACAAATCTCTTTAAATACTTGTACATCTCTAGTATAAGTTGATTGACTCACATTCAAAGCAACACTCAGTAATTTGAATGTGAGTCAATCAAATTACTATGAAAATGTTGGTTAAACTCGTTAAATGCTGCCAAGTTACTTAATTAGTATGTAGAAAGAGATAAGAATGGGAAAATGTTGTATGAACACTATGAACCAAACAAAATGTTACTTCTAAATTTTGATATTATTATCATCATAATTCCTATTCTACCCTTACATTTCCCAATTTACAAATTTGACCAACGTATTGTCAATAGTTCATCGATCAATCCTCCACTAAAATCAAGTAAATTTTGTAAACAAAAAAAAAATATTAAAAAAAAAAGAAAGTCAGACAAGAAGATCGTCTCCGAAGAGGTAAAGAAGCCGCTCAACGGCCCAGCTAGGTTCTGTCTTAGCCGGCGGCCATTCCCCAAACGACGACGTATTAGCAGCAAGAAGCGGAGTTCTACAGAGAGGACACGTTCGGTGGTTATCTTCCTCTCCCTCGTTACCATCTCCACCGCAGCACTCATAGTCCAGCCACCTGTCGATACACTCTCGGTGGAAAACGTGAGCACAGTTTCTTAGCTCTCTGACCTCATCTCCATCTTCAAGATCACCAAGACACACCACACACGTGTCGCTCATCGCCGCGTCACGAAACGTGGTCACGGAGAGGCTCTCTTTGATGGCCTGTGAAGAAATGGAAGGAGCAGAGGAAGAAGACGTTGACCTAGATCGGTAACGTAAGATCCAAGTAAAGATCCATTTCAAGAGGGTGATGAAAACAGCCATTTGGTAAAGAAGTTGAGTGACGATGAGACCAGAATCTTGGATGAAGAAGCTCATATTGTTTCTTTGTTTTGTTGCTTAGAGAGAAAGAGTGAAGAATGAGATGCGTTTTTAATAGTGACGAATAAAAAGTAGATTGCTTTGTTGATTTTAATGGAAGGTGACCCATGTGGATGACCAATAAAGCAATAAATACTGTAATAGTTTTCATATTTTATATGAAAGGTTAAAATATATAATATGATTAGTTGATAGTATATGGCGTCATTTCTGGCTTTTGAACCATAGGCAGGGACAAAACCTACGTGATTATTGACCGGCCAAGTTCTTAATTGTATTTAATACTTACGCTTATGCAATACTTTTTTCCAATGAATTTTTTAAGTAAAGTATCCTTTATAGGAAAAAGAGTAGATCAATTCCATTGGTATTGATTTTGTTCTCGTAAACTAAAAGCTGTTCATTTCAGTCTTTTACTTGACCCGATCAGACGCAAACCTAATCCGGGTTTCCATCACATACATACACATCCATTGTGATTAGACTGAACAAAAACAATATGTGGATAGATGTTACTTATGTGTTAATTTTATTATAACTTCAGTGCTATTAAAAGATATTTTTATTTAATATATACTTTGAAATTTGAATAAACTTCCTATTTTATGGCATAGCTGAAATAATGTCCACTGAGAATAGTCGATCAATCATCGACTCACAGCAAATCGATTACTCAACTATCAAAATGATTAATGATTAAGTTTCTATATTGTCGGATCCATATTATCATCCATTTTCTATTAAATTATTGCACTTTCAGTGTATTTTAATTCAAAATCTATTCAAATGATTAGTATTCTGCCGTTCAAATCATCTTTAAGGTTACATAATTTTCTGGTAAGAGAATTTACACAAAAGGTGACGGCTATAAACAAAGGTCTCGATTATAAGGTTCCATGTTATGTGATCTGCTCTGCTTTATAACGTGATTTGGTCGGTTGGCCAAACTTTACAACGCCAAACCACTACAACGTTTGTAGTTTTAGGTGACAACTGATTCCTAAACAATTTTACAAATGTATAACATGATCATTTCGAGGTTTGTTATTGTATCCACACAACTTTAACCAATTTCATATTCTGTTGTCCTTTTCTACTAACTGTATTTTTACGCCTACAACTACAACAAGAAGACACTATGGAATGTGAAGCAACTTCAATTGTCTAACATGGTAAAAAAGTTATAAACTAAATTATCCATATATGAATAATACTCTCTACCCAAACAGATACAAATATCTCCTTACAGTTCGTCAAAACCTATGGAATCATAATCAAAACAATATTCGAAACAATAACCAAACCAAAGAGAAAAGTTTAAGGAGCAAAACATAACATATAAAGATGTTCTCTAGTCCAAATCAAAAAACACAATCTAGCATTGAACATCGTCACTGGAGAGGGGAGGTTTGCGATCATGTATAAGTCATCACATCCTGTCTTCTCTCCTCCTAGGAGCACAAGTAATGATCTCATCCACTCGCAGTATCATCTCAGCTGCTTCTGTTGCAGAAAGCAGAACCGCTTGTTTCACTTTAAATGCTTCATAGATTCCTCTCTCTTCCATATCTCCTACCTATAAAAGAACAACATTCATCACCACATTTCAAGATGCCTGATCCTAGATTTTGTATATTTAGTTTTACTTACAGCTCCAGAGATGACATCGATCCCAGCGTTACACCCCTGGTTGTGGTGCTCTGCACGAAGTTGAGCGACCAACTCTGCACTGTCTAAACCAGCATTGTCAGCGATTGTTGTCGGTATAGCTACAAGAGCCCGTGAGAAAGCTTCAATGGCATGAGATTTTTTGCCAGCAGTTTTCCTTGCGAGCTCATCTACTTCCTTTGCCATCACCATCTCTGGCCATCCACCTCCAAGCAACACCCTACTGTCATTCACTGTCTGGGAGAGTACACATAAGGCATCATGTAGTGATCTTTCAGCCTCGTCTAGAACATGGTGACTGCAAGAAACAAAAACTGTCATTAAATATAAAATTAGTCAACACAAAGCCTTAATGGGAGCAACAATAAATGGATACCTAGCACCACGTAGGACAATTGAACAAGCTTGGCCCATGGCAACGCCAGAGAAATGGATCAACTTATCTTCACCAATCATGATTTCTTCGATGAGTTTACAATGCCCAAGCTTAACAGACTCTGGGTTGTCAAAGGTTGAAGCGATCTCACCGCCTGTAACCAATCCAAGACGCTCTATTCCCTCAAAGTCAGCATGCTCAATAGCAAGTACACCAGCATCTGCGAAGAGTTCCTCGGGGAAATTGTAGATCAACTGCCTGTTGACAAAGCAGTTAATACCATGGGCAAGGATCTTGTTCACTTTGTCTTTCATCTTTTCCTTTTCAGCGCCTTCGATCTCAGCGACCTTGGTCATAGAATCTACACGGACACGTGCACCGTAAATCTTCACTTTGTCGGTATCCATTGCAGTATTTGCTACCAAGATCTTTGCGTTCTCTATGCGCTTTGGCTGCCCAATTCCGATCTTCTTGTCAAGAATAAATCTAAAGGCATAGAATTAAGTTCAGATGTCAGAAGACAAAAATACTGGATGCATACAAGGAGAAATGTAACGTAAAAAGATGTCATAATGCACATCATCATTTTAAAGCAAGAATTAAAATTAAGGTGCACAAACTCTGAAAAGAAAAGAACAGAAACACGACATAGTTACCATGAACAGATGAATACTAAATAGTGATCATATAGTTCACAGAAATACTATTGAGTCAATTGGCTCAATACACAAAAAAAGGTATAAGTAGTATCTTACCCTTCATCCAAAAATGAATCCCTCAGAGAACCTCCGGGCTTTTTGATGATTTGAATAGCTTCCAAGTTTGTGCTTCCCTATTTCAAAGAAACCACCAGAATGTCAGAGACAAAACATATAACACTACATAACACAAAACAATGTGTCGGAGAGTCTCCAAGAAAGAAATTTATAGTAAAGGAGAGCATCATATTTTCATGACATTTGTCAAAGAAGCCTGTTCTTGCATTAAGTAACCCATGACAATTACGGAGAAAGAGTAACAAATAGCACATTGCTAACTGAGTTTCAAAAGGAGGGAGAGATGAAACCTTTAGTCTGAACACAGCATCCACAGCCATTTCTGCAAAGTGTTCCTTGTCTTGTGAGAGAATTTTAGAGCATAACGTAGTCATAGCAATCTTCATCAAATCTGACCTAAACTTCTCTGCATAATCACAAAACACAATACTGTAAATAAAAAGTGTGATTCCCAAAGCTAAACACAAAGGAAAACACCACTTGAACTCAACGTTAAACGAATCACAAAGAATAGAACGCAAACTCTGTAATGATTTACCTGCATCCTCCTTATTATCCATTACTCTTTTGAGTAAAGCATCACGAGCACATTCCGCAGCCATTCTGTAACCTGAGAAACCATGAAATGAAAAACAAAAATCAAGACCTCACTGTCATAATAGAAAGAAGCTGATACAACGTGGTTAAGAAGCTAACCTGCTATAATTGTCATGGGGTGGATCTTAGAAGTAACAAGCTTTTCAGCTTCCCTAAGAAGCTCACCCGCCAACACAACAACAGAAGTAGTCCCATCACCAACCTCATCATCTTGAACTTTCGAAATATCTGCAAAAAAAAACATTAAATAAAACAATAAATGAGAAAGACAGCAACAAGTTAAAAAATAAATAACAAAAGGAAGGAGGTATGTATATACATACCAACAAGAACTTTAGCAGCAGGGTTGTCAATGTGAAGTGACTTGAGAATAGTAGCACCATCGTTAGTCACAGTGACGGAATGACCTCTTCCAGTAGATTGCAAGATCTTATCCTACACAACAATACGGATTCTGTAAAAAAAGTGTTCTAAAAATCGGTCTAGGCTGCGCCTAGTCAGCATTTTATAAACCGAAATAAAAATTGGCCTATGCGTCCGACTAACCAATAATCCTCTACATTATGCCTAACCACAGCCTAGCGATTTTTAGAACACAGTAAAACGTTCCAAAAATCGGTCTAGGCGGCGCCTAGTCAGCATTTTTTAAACCGATTAAAAAATTAGCCTATGCGTCCGACTAAACAATAATCCTCTACATTATGCCTAACCACCGCCTAGAGATTTTTAGAACACAGTAAAAAGTTCTACAAATCAGTCTAGGCGGCGACTAGTCAGCATTTTTTAAACCGATTAAAAAAATTAGCCTATGCGTCCGACTAAACAATAATTCTCTACATTATACCTAACCACAGCCTAGCGATTTTTAGAACACAGTAGACAAATAACAATTCAATAAACTGAAAAGTTTACTGAAAATTCTTGGAACGGAAGTTTACCATTCCCTTGGGGCCTAAGGTAGACTTAACGAGATCAGCAACCGCCATTGCACCAATAAACGAAGCCTAAAAAAAGAGCAATCAAAAGCAAAATCAGATTTGAAAAAAACAGCATAGTTGAATCTGGAAAAACACTAATTCATCGAACGAAGAAGCTCACCATCCTCGCACGTTCTCCTTTCTCTTCATTGGCGTCATCTTTGAAGATCTTATCGATCTATACAATAAGGAGTAGCTTTTAAGTTAGTTAATTAGCTGCGTGTGAGAAGAAAGTAAAAGAGGTGAGAGAGACGACGGAGGAGCGTACCGGCATTGATAAGATCGGAAGACGACGGAGGGATTCTCAGTGGAAGATCTGCTGAATTCAATAGTGATGATGATGAATCGTTCCCAAGTGTGAGTAGAAATGGAGGAGAGAGAAACACTAGACACTCAGAACCCTAAATGAAAAGAACAAAGACAAAACTACCCTCACTGATTCGCAAAGAACTGAAAAATTGGGTATATGAGACTAAGCCCAATAATAGATTTTCGGCCCAAAGGATTATATATAAAACAAATATTTCAAACCGACAGCGTATGGACTTCACGCACGTTTTAAATTACGGTGTACTTAATTTGTCGGAATACCAAAAAAGTATCGCCTCGTGTCTGAATAATAAGGTTCTGAAGAAGATAATCTTTCGAGGCTCCTCCCAGTCAGAACGACGTTGACGCGAAAGCGAACAAAAATTCCGAGAAACTGAACATGGTTAAGGTGGAAGATGAGCCACGCGCTTCCGCTGAAGGTAGAGTTGGGGTCGTCGACGGTGATGGCGGCGAGGAGCATGAACCGGTTGAGATCTCCGGTGACGCCACCGAGCACGGTGCCATCGCCGGATCTGTTGCCGGAGAAGGTGGATTTTCAGATGAAAGACCGATTCAGGAAGCTAGGTATGAGTTTGTTCTTGAAAAAAGCTGTTGATTTCGAATCTTTTGGTCTAATCTACCTTTGAATTGAACTGAGTCTAGTTGTGGAAATCGTCTAGTTACATTTGGATATAAATAGAAATATTTTATTGCTATTTATGGAAAGTCATAATCAATCAATTTGTTCTTCAAGTTTCTTCATGCATAGATGGTCCTCTCCTCTCATATGTGGTTTTAGAGAAAAGAATTGTTTGTGTCGTTTTAGAGTTTCTGCAAAATTTATTAACTTTATTCCTTGGTTGAATTGTATAGGTAATGATGTTTTTAATAGAAATATACGAAATTAAATGTTGCACAAATCTAAAACAACATTTAAAATGAAACAGAGGGAGTATTGACACTAAAAATGACATTCGCTATAATCTTCTCTTGCTCCTTTGTATACGCTGCCTAGTGCCATTTTCTAGCATTTAGTATGTGGAGAGAGTTTGTTCCCTAGCTGTTTAGATTGTTCTCAGTGTTGGCATCAAGTGTCCATCTTTATAGTGAAGTAACAAGTTCTAATGGCTTTTTCCGCTTTTAAAGATCCACGGAGGCCCCTTCCTCTGATACTCCAACTCAACTTACTATTTTCTTTGGTGGGAAAGTTACCGTCTTTGATGGACTTCCACTAGAAAAGGTTGAATCCACTACACATTCTACTTTCTTGTTTTGTCTGAAACTCTCAGAGACTTACTCTTCTCATCACTGTGAATTGTTCCTTACACAGATTCAAGAAATCCTCGGTATTGCTGCTTCTGCTGCTGCTAAATCCATTGAGACAAAGAACTCCACGAACGTCAGTCCTGTCCTTTCTCCAGCACTGAACAGAGCTCCTTCTTTCTCTAGCACCTCTACCGGAGCTTCACCAGCTGCACAGTCATTCCCAGTTACGTTTTGCAGATCTGCTGCTGGTAAGTATTCAGTTTCATTACAGTAATATTTAAATATTGAAAATAGATATGCTCATTAGTTCTGTTTTGACGATTCAGAACTACCAATTGCAAGGAGGCATTCACTTCAACGATTCCTTGAGAAGAGACGGGACAGGTATGCATCCTTTCTCTATTACTCTACAAACTCTTATCTGATCTGTTTCAAAAACTTGCGTATAGACCTGAGAAGACTGACATATTCATCATAGTTTTTACCTTGAGATTGTATCTAACAACAACATTAACTTACTTTATATGCAGATTGGTCAACAAAAACCCTTACCCTGCTTCAGACGTCAAGAAGACAGATGTCCCAACCGACAATTCCTCTATTAAGGAGGAGTCTCCTCTTACTTAGCAGAATCCTTCAAGGCTACAATAAGCTTCACGAATAATATCATTCCAAATAAGTGAAACCTTATGATGTGTGTTGTATGATAGTGTAACCGAAGATTTGTTTGCATGTCTGGAGTGGCTCGACTTGTTTATCATTTTACATTCTCTCCAAGGATGAGAAGAGTATTATCTACTGATGAAAAAACTACTGTGGTCTTAAAAACAGTGTGATAGAGTCTTATCTTAACTATATAGAACTCTTGATGTTATGTTATTGAACTTGTTATCTCTTTCAGACACAATGCGTATGTAATATTAATGAAGTCTGCTATTGTTGTAATAATCTTTTCATGCAAGGCAAAGCGAGATCTCTGTAAAATACGTAAGATGTGAAGATAATAGGTTTACGGAGAGAGGAGGAAGAAGAGAAGGTGAAAGGTTTACGGAGAGAGGAGGAAGAAGAGAAGGTGAAGACACTAAATTTTTGCTTTTAAGAATGAAGATGATTCAGGGGTTGCTAATAAACTGAGGATTTTGAAAGACATTAAATTTTCATATCAACTAACATTTTAATAAGAACATAAAGAAGCTTTGCTTGAACAAGAAAATTAACTGAAATAACTTCATGGAATTACTGATTCTGACCATCGAGTGAACCACATGAATCTAGAAAAGTATAAGGTTTTATTCATATTCCATAGTTGATGTCAAGTTCTTCTGGAGATTATGAATATCATGAAAAAAAACAAGAAAAAACAACACAAGTATTTCAACTCCACAACAAGCTTTTAGTTCCCAAACAAAAGACCACTCACTTCACCAACCAATTTCTCAAGTCTTCCTGCGCCCAACACGAGCAACAAAACCTGCTTTGATCTGCGCCACAGATCGTCCAGATCCACACTGCAAAACAAGTAAAGTTCATCATAATTTACACAGAGTTGATCATAGCTAAAAGTAGTATCAACATCATCACCAATCACATGTTACAGAACGCATCAATCATGCAAAAAAAAACGTGATTAACTACTAAAAGCATGCCTCCTGGTGAGTTAATACAAGAGGGTTCTTTAGGTAAAACAGTTGTTACTAGATTGCAAGCATAAAATACCGTGAAGGCTATGTCTAGCAGTATTATCAAGAGAATTAATACACAACAGGTTTTTGGACTGTGATAAGCGTAAGGGCAAGACAATGACATATATAATCTTCTCTTAAATGTTTCATTTCCGCAAGACATGATTTGATTGCTTAGTTGGGCAGAAAGAAAAAAAACAAACAACAAAGGCATGCATGTCAAGATAAGGATTAAATAAAATTGTACCTTTTCGCATCTGAGAAAGAAGAGACGATTCTCCTTTGAGAGAATGGTGTCTGGGCTCTTGCAACCAAGGCAGATGACGTACTCAGCTGCAGATAACAGAAGCAAGGAATCACATTAACAACTCCGAATCTGTATATGTTTATGGCAATTCGAATTACAAAACTAAACAGAAAGATACTTACTGACATAGCGACGCAATATCCCTTCAAAATTCTTGGGTGCAAACCTTCCCTTGACAACCAATCTTTGCTGCCCATCAAGCGAACCACTGGTTCCCAACTCAGCAAGCAAGAAATTCATCACATGATCTGGTTGACGATGCATCCTGAAATATTTATTTTTAAATTGCCTAGGTATTAGTACTTATGTGGTTAATCGAACAAGTTTAAAGAGTAAGATAAGAGAGAGGTTTGTTCATACGTCTTGCAAAGGTCCATAAAGTTGACAAACACAGTCTTCTTTGTCCCCTCACGAAGTACTTGAGGTGGCCTCATAACTGTACGACGCCTATCTCCAGCAAGCTCCGGATTGTTTTCACGGAGAATGTTAAAGACTCTACCAAGAAGCTGCAAACATAAACCCCATCATCAAACACCAAGCAGATGGAGATTTTTGAAAATGATACATTGACTTGGAACCAAAGTCCTCTAAAGCAGTATACCGTATACGTTTTTCATAACCAAAGAACATCGCCAAACCAACTAACAATAATACTCACCTCGTCGTATATGTAATCCCTATCACTTCCCTCCCAGGGATAACGTTGCTGCTGCAGTTCAACACCCTCCGCCTCTTCCTCGTCATTAGGATGCTCTGCAACATATCATCTGCAATCTTCAAATCCATGTCGGTAGAAACAGTTAACTACTACCAAAAGAAAAGGAACATAAAATTACCCTCCAAATCTTCTGGAGCATCGACACTTTCTTCGTTCAACAAGCTTGTTTCAACCTTAACAACCATCAAACCAAAAAAAAAAAAGTGAGGCACAGTATCAAAGTTTGAAAGAAACAAAAACTTGAAACACTCACAGGCTTCTTCTTCTTTTTCTTCTTGGCTCCCAAAAATGAACCGTCAAGGCCATCACTAGCTGCAGAAGAAAATATATTAGATAACGCAAACTAATGAAAAGAAAATAGACTCTTGAGAATTACCAGGCAAAGGTTCAGATGTCTCCCCCTGTGACTCAGTAGGTTCCTCGATAAGATCCTGAACTACAACTTTCTTCTTCTTTTTCTTCTTGGTTGGATCAAAAGGTGCGAGCTATGGTTAACCAAAACAATTAAAGCCACACAATCAAAATTTATCCAGCTAAAAATAAATAAATTAAAGTTTAAGATTAGGAAGGAAGTAACTTACTTCTTGCTCGTCCTTGACCTCCTTCATCTCATTATTTTCATCAGCCATGATTGCTTACTGAGATGAAAAAAAAACAAAGATGATAAGCACACATTCTATAACGTAAAGGAATCTGACTACACAGACACCACCGAGATTAGGGTTTCTACAACAGAGCGATAATCGGATGACATAGCTAAGATTCCATTTTCAAAGACATGAGGTAACAAATTTCAACCCCGAAAATCATCCCCCAATAAATCTAGGTTAAGGCTTCAAAAGTACAAAATCAAGATAGTTTTAATCTCTTTACTCAACAGGTCCAAACACGATTTGCTAGGAGGTGAAGAAATAAAATTCGAAAAGGAATCAAAAAAAAAACTCACCGTAAAATTAACTTTTGGGGGGAGAAGGGTTGTTGATTTGGGGAGGAATCGATCTGAGAGAGAGAGCAAGCGGCGCAGAGGAATGAAGATAGTCGGATAATAATTGTCAAGGGTTTCCTCGTTTAAGAGAAAGGAGACTCCGTTTTATTCAGAGGCTTTGTAATTTATGTTATTTTATTCTATATTAGCAAATTTGTTGGTCGATATAGTATTTATAAACTTATATAATATTATAGAAATAAATTAAATTTAAATATATATACATAACTAAAATAAAAATATAAAAATATTATTATTATCATAACATATATATATATAAGTAAAATATTTTGTTAATCTCTATATTATATACAATTACTTGCATTTATACGAAAACTTACCTTTATATAAATCACTAAATATTGTCATATTTAGTCTCACAGTAGCATATTTTATTTTGGTCAAGATTTTCTACCAAAAACAATAGATTTGTGAAATTAATAACCCGATCCAAGCTTAAAATCTGATAACAATACACCCAAATGAAATGGTGAGCAAAGCGTAGCTTTTAGTCTTGTGTTGACAACATAAACATTCCTCTCTTTCCCTCCTAATTCCTTTTCTTTAGGGTTCATCTGCAATTTTCATCTTCACCTTCCTTACTCCTATCTTCCTCTCTACGTTTTTATTCATTCCCCTTTCTCAAAGTGAACCACCTCCACGTGGAGTTTCCCCAAAAAAAAAAACCAAATTAATGAGTTTCTTATTCACACCCCCCAGAATCTAGACCTTCAATTCGGTTTAAAAAAACCCTAATTTTGGAGTTTTAGAGCTGATCTAGTTGAGTTACGGAGTATAGTGGCTTTGAAGTTTTGAGCAATGTCGGATGACATGGTGTTGCATTTCTCCTCCAATTCTTCTAATCAGTCAGATCACTCTCTCCCCGACAAGCTCGCTAAGCTCGAGGCTCGCTTGACCGGCAAAACCGCTAAGCCACCGCCTCAACAGCAGCAGCAGCTCTCTGTGTGGTCATCTGCTTCTACCGTCGTGGCTTCCACACCGGCTGGATCGTCGGAGGTCTCTATCAGTGATGATTCCGACGACGAGGTAGCCTTCGGATATTCTTTTTTTCTTTTTGGGGTGAATTTTAAATAATTCAGATTTGATGTCTATATCTTAATACTCGTTGTTGTTTACTACTCTCACAGAACACTGGAGATTTCCTAATTCGAGCGAATACGAAAAAGCGCCAGAAAGTTGAAGACTTTCACAACAACAACTCCACTACTCTTGTTGATCATCCTATTCCTGAGGTTGTTAATTTTCAGTGTTTAAAGATTTTATCTTTAAGGTTACGTGATATTGAAACGATAAGTTTTGTCTCAGTGTGTGTGTTTTTGTTTTAATGATATTGTAATTGTTGAATTGAAGCCACAAGAGCCGGCAGTATATGATGGAAAGAAAAATGATGCTGAGACCAAGACGGGTGTTGATGTGAGTAAGAAGAAGCAAGGTCGAGGTCGAGGTTCATCAACAGGCAGAGGAGGGCGTGGTGGTTCTAAAGCTAACAATGATGTGACAAAATCTGCACCAGTATCAGCTGCAAAGTCTCAGTTGTGTGTCTCTGATCAAAAGGTTTAATGTTATGATCCCTACATGCATTCATCATCGAGGATTTATATATATATTAGACTTAGTTTCATCGTCAAAACGGGGACATGGGTCTTACTGCAAACCTTCTGTTGGCCTATGATATGACAAAAAAAAAAAAATTAAGACCATTTCCCATTTTGCTGAAGAAAATCTATATCTAGATATGCATTGCCCTTGGGAACCAGATGTATTTTGTCGATGACACTTCTGCTTTTTTATTCTTCAGGATGGACAACTTAGGAATGGTGAATGCTCTGTCCAGGATGTAAGTTTCTCCCATTAGTTCCTTTAGTCTGTAATATTCTCTCCTTATCTACGACATATCACATTTCTGCATCATATACATTTGTTAGAATAGGTGAACGTGTTTGTTATATATGATTATTCGCAACAATGAAACGTACTGTTATATGTTTCTTTATTGACAGTTCTTTTTCTTGACTGTAAATCAGGAGGATGTGTCATCTTTACGTGCAAAAATCTCTGTGCTGGAGGAGGAGTTGTGCAAATCTCGGCAAGATTCTTCTGAGTATCAGAATCTTTTACGGAGTCTTGAGAATGTATTGTGCGAATACCTTTTCGATTTAGCCAGTCATGGTTATGCTAATTTTTGCCTATATGCTAATTTTAATCATGATCTATGCAGGAGGCAAAAGATCTAAAAGATCAGGAACAACAAGGAAAGCAAAAGGTGAGCAATTATTTCTGTTTCCCTGAGCCAATAAGGGTTATTACGCGGTCATATTATCTTCTGTTTAATGTCTCCCCTAGTATGGCCTAGTTACTTCTTAGTATTATCAATGAGTCTGAGAGAATCTTTGATTAAATATACATTTTTCTCCATTAGAAGTATTGTAGTTCCATCCTGAGAAAAGGTTAATCAGTGACAGTCTCCTAATTTGCTTTGAATGCTCGCTAAATCTAATGCTGCCGCTGCTACTAGAGGACTGAATATCTGTGGACATTAAGATCTTGCATGGCACATCTATACTCCATGTGCACTGAGCTCTTTTCGTAAAGGATGTATTAGTATTTAGAAATAAGAGGCACGCTATCCATTGTGGGTAAGGTCGAATTCTAGGTACTTGAGTATGGAATCGATATATAGTGGCTAATGACCAACGATTTTGGCTTCTTGTGACTCTTAGTTAATGAATTTGTAAATACTGGGTATCTTCATGTCAACTCATAGTTCAGTTTTTGCACATCGTCTAGGAATATCCTTGGTGAAGAAACTCTTAAATTCTCTCGCTATTTCTCTGTAAAATTCATGATAAATTTTACATTCTAATGCAAAACATGCGGACAACCTTTCCTTTTCTTGATGCAGACAACTAAAGTAATATCTGACCTTCTCATATCTGTTTCCAAAACTGAGAGACAAGAAGCAAGAACAAAAGTCAGACATGACTCTTTGCGATTAGGCAGCGTTGGTGTACTCAGGTCTGCATAATGTATTCATTTGAGTTCTTATGGCTCTAGTATATATTTTTTTCAATTCTGTGTTCCTAGATTCATACACAAGTATTGAAAATGTATTTAAGTGAGAATTATAAAAGAACATGTATAGTAAATAAAATTTTGCTTTTTAGTAAAATCATTTAAAAGTTCATTCTGTCAGCTGTATTCTGGTGATTTCAGGACGGGAACCATCATAGCTGAAACATGGGAGGACGGACAAATGTTGAAAGATTTGAATGCTCAACTTGTAAGTTAAGCTGTGTAGAGAGATAATTTTATCAAACAGTACCAGTAATCCATGCAGTGCTTGTTTTAATTTTCTATAAAATTTGCAACGAGAAGAAACAATTGCTGGAAACCAAGGAGGTTATTGAGAGACAGAGGAAGTTCCTTAAGAAACGACAGAATGGCGGTATGTTTTGTTTTCCAGATCGTTCTTACTTTGTTAGTCAATCTACAGTTATGTTAAGGACCCAGGGGTTTTTCATTTGCGTGTAGATAAGAGTGACGGCACTGATTCAGAATCAGGAGCACAGGAGGAAGATGTAATCCCCGATGAGATTTACAAGTCTCGCCTTGCTAGTATTAAGCGGGTATGTTCCTCCTTATGCATCATCTCAGTTTCTTATTTCTCTACATTGATTGGTTTAATTTCTAATCATACATCTATTAATTTTTACCTTTCAGGAGGAGGAAGTAGTTTTGCGTGAGAGAGAGAGGTATGAACTGGAGAAGGGTCAGCTTATGAAGGAGATGAAGCGCATTCGAGATGAAGATGGTTCTCGTTTCAATAATTTCCCAGTTTTGAATAGTCGATATGCGCTTCTAAATCTTCTTGGTAAAGGCGGATTTAGTGAAGTCTATAAGGTCAGAACATTAATAGATAGATACCACATTCTTTTTTACATATGAGAGAAATATTTGCAGTAGTTTGATGTTTACGGATTTTGAGCAGGCATATGATTTGGTGAATCATAGATATGTTGCGTGCAAGCTTCATGGTTTAAATGCTCAGTGGAGTGAAGAAAAGAAGCAAAGTTACATCCGACACGCCATGAGGGAATATGATATCCATAAAGATCTTGTGCATCACCACATTGTCCGCCTCTGGGATAAATTTAGAATTGACCTGGATACATTCTGCACTGTTCTGGAATATTGTAGTGGTAAAACCAAAAATTCTCTGATCTCTTTCTGTGGCGAGCAGTTCTCATGCTTATGTTTTGAATTTTCTAATGGCAGGAAAAGACCTTGATGCGGTTTTAAAGGCAACACCTATGCTTCCTGAGAAAGAAGCAAGGATTATCATTGTACAAATAGTTCAAGGCCTTGTATATCTCAACAAAAGATCACAGAAGATTATACACTATGATCTGAAGCCAGGGAATGTTCTGTTTGATGACTTTGGAGTAGCGAAAGTTACTGATTTTGGTCTTAGCAAGATAGTGGAAGACAATGCTAGTACTCAAGGGATGGAGCTTACATCACAGGGTGCTGGAACATACTGGTACTTGCCTCCAGAATGTTTTGAGCTTAGCAGAACTCCTATGATCTCATCAAAGGTTAGCGTATTGGTCAATGATGTTTGTTTGAATCAGAATGTGTTTTGTGGTACTAAACTATGTTAAAAATCCAGGTTGATGTATGGTCCGTTGGTGTTCTGTTTTACCAAATGCTATTTAGAAAGCGACCATTTGGACATGACCAAAGCCAAGAACGGATTCTAAGAGAAGACACAATCATTAAAGCCAAAAAGGTTGAGTTCCCGGCAAAACCTTCCATCTCGAATGAAGCAAAGGTACTGGTCTTAAACCTGGCTTTAGTAAAGTAGAACTCAATGGTCATTAAAGTGTATTTTCGATGGTCACTCAGCTGTTGCATTTTTATCTGCAGGATTTGATTCGAAGGTGTCTAACATATAACCAAGCAGATAGGCCTGATGTCCTAACACTGGCACAGGATCCATATCTTTCTTACAGTAAGAGATGAGAGTCTGTAGTCTTCACAAACAAACCAGAGATACTAAAGGACCAAGGTCTAATGAATATTTTTCTTATTGTATAGATTATAAAGTTTTTGTTTGTTTATTTAAATCTGTTTATCTCCCAGCCCCTTGGACCATATTAATTTCGGGTGAATTTCTCCGTCAACTATGCAAAATATGTACTGTATATTTTCCATGTTTTTGAATAGAACTTGTTTAAGTTATGAGACAACGTGAGTGTGATCAATTGAACCAAAATAAATCGGGATGGAGACTATTGGAACTTATTAAACCAAAGTGTTAACCAAGACAAAACAGATTGATACCAACACTGTGATCATTGGCTTACAATCAATTGACTCCAAAAGTCTTCTTATCCACTCATACTACACAAGCGGAAGCTCACACTTGCTTCTTCATCACCTTCTTCTTTCCTTCTTCCATGGCTTTATCATTTGCTTCTTTAACAAACTTCTCCAAGATGCAGTCAGGTGTATGGTACAGTGGAGCCATCACGCCAAGATTCACTGTGAGATGCTGTGAAGCCTCGAAAGAGCCTTCACCAAAGTCAAAGCTCCAAGTTGGATCACCAATCATCATAGTGGAAGCTCCCAAAGTCATAAAAACAGCAGCTTCAATGCCTTGTCTTAGAGCTAACGCTGGCTTAGTCAAGCCTGGCGATGTTGGAAGGTCTTCTTTCCTCTGCTTCCATAATCCATTTCTTAATCTTAGTACAAAACTCATAATAAACCATGTATTCTTGGTAATTAAGAGGCCTGTAGAGTTTACATTCTTGTGCACCTTTTGTGTGAATCAATTTACGGATTTTAATCACATTATTTTACTTTTATTTTTGCAGAATCGTTTCAAGAAAACCTAAGGACTTGTGGGCAGTTCGACTGTCCATTGGAACATATCTTTTAGATGGTAAATACTTCAAAGCTTTAGAGCTTGAAGAGTGAGCTGATGATTAAGACAATGTCATGTAATAATATTTCTGATTCATAAGAACACATATAACAAAACAGGCTGGTTCAAATCATGGATACACTTTAATATCTTTTCTTTTGCTTGCTCAAAAAGTAAACTTATTCCCTCATCCGAACCATACAAGTCTACAACTTGTTTGGTTTTGTGGTCAAACCATAACCAAAAGGGTACAACGGGTCGTAATACTTATCTCCAACGTTCATAGGCAGTTGCTTCACCGACTTGAACCACGTCCTAGCCAACTTTCCAGTAAACCCATAATCACCAAACAAAGCATCAGCCACTCCTTGACCTTCTGTTCCTGGAAGCCAAGCTGCCACAAGAGCATCTATCTTCGAGACATAAGGCTGCATCACCACAGGACGGCCAGAGACCACAACCACCACACACTTCACTGATCCACACACGTTCCCTATCGTGCTTGGACCAGGTTCACTTATGGTTAAGTTTGTGCTGTCCCCAAACATCTCAGCATATGGTGGCTCGCCAACAACCACAATGGCGTAGTCAAATTTACCAGACTTCACGAAGTTTGCGTCAGGGTTTGCGTTGTAGACGACTTGTGTGGTTGGAGCTACTGTGTTCTTCACAGCAGCGAGGATCGTTGTTCCTGTTGCATTGTTTAAACCAAACTCTCAGGATCAATATGTGCATCCATGTTTTGTAACATGAACAGGGAAAAAGAGAGTAAAACATACCGACGGTGAGGTCGTTGCCGTTAAGGCCTTGCCATGTGATGGTCCAGCCACCACATTGATATCCCAAGTTATCAGCGTGTGATCCGGTCACAAGGATCTTTCCTGTCTTCTTAGGCAGAGGAAGCAACGGTTTATCTCCCTTGTTCTTACCATTCTTGAGTAGCACTAGGGACTTCCTCACAGCTTCACGAGCTAGTTCCCTATGTTCCTGTCAAAAATTGCAGAAATGTTCTCTTCAGTTTCATACTGATGATTTACAGATGATCAATGTTCTAAAAATTGGTCTGGAGTGTGTCTAGGCGTCCGCCTAAACATTAATCATCGATAAAGCGCCTAAAACAACATACCTTGCTACCAAGCTGGTTGGCAAAGCTGAGATCAGCTAGTGGCTCCTCAAAGAGTCCCATAGTGAATTTAACCCTTAAGATTCTCTTCACAGCGTCATCAATCCTGCTCATTGGGATCAGCTTCTTCTTTATCTGACTGTTGATTTCATCTATGAACTCTGTGTAGTTGTATGGCACCATAATCATGTCAATACCAGCGCTGATTCCAGCGTAAACAGAGTATGAGTAGTTCAGATGCGGAGGAGTCGTGATCCTATCAATCCCCTGCCAATCTGAGATGACAAAACCCTGCAAGGAAACAAGAAAGAAAGTTTTTTAGGACCAAAAGAACATCACAGACGAAGACCAAGTATCATTACTTACTCTGAACTTCAACTTGTTCTTGAGGAAACCTGTGACTAGTTCCTTGTGAGCATGCATTCTCAAACCGTTCCAGGCAGAGTAGGACACCATAACCGTTGCAACACCCTTGTTTATCGCGTTGTAATATGCAGGCATGTGGATTCCGAACAGCCCATTCGAGTCAATCACAGTGTTGTTCTCATCAATACCTCTCACTGTACCTCCATCTCCAACAAAATGCTTAGCACAAGCTGCCACTTTTGATCTGTCACAACAGTTACAAAAGTTTTAGATTAACCAGTGGAATTTGTGTTCATGTCACACACTAATGCATTAATTAAGCTAAGACTAAAATGAATCTAGTCAAACCAGTATACTAATGATTTCTATGAGACATAAAACTCATTTATCTCCCCCCAAATGTAAAGGATATTAATAAGTGGGGACAGGGAGTGTTTATAGTGCTTCATACTGGTCCTACAGTAGAAGAAAATTCAAACCATGACTTTTTAAAGAACCTGTCAGAGCATACTATAGATAAGAGTTGAAAACATAGCACATGGCTTGGCCAATCATTTATTGCCAGGCAGGGTTAGCACTTGCAAAATGAATAATCACCACATTCATTGATCTCTTATCCAGAAGCTTTTAACACTCAAGGACCACCACCAAGTTGCAAATCAAATCATACAGAAGCAATTCAAATCATAACCAAATCTACTAGAAAAAAACATAGTTAACATAGAACAATGAATGAGTTAAGGCCTTAATCAGCAGATTCAGACAGGATATGTTCACTAAAAACATATAGGAGATGATTAATTACAGGCAAAAGATGCTTACTTTCCACCGACAAAGGGAACACCTCTTCGCTTAGTAGGAAGGTCACCTTGCAAACCGGGTATAATCTCAGTCATCTGCTGAACGATTCTGTAATCCTCACTATAGCTCTCATAGCATCTTCCCCATCTCGGATCCCTACAAACCTGTCAGAGAAGAAACACTAAGCATACATGTTTCTCTGATCAGACTACTTCAAACTGTTAGCTTCGTTATACTACTTACTGCAATGCAAGGTGCAAAGGCATATGGGATTCCAGTAGCTCTAACTTCAAGAGCAGTTGCTTCCCCAATCCTCTTAAGAAGCTTAGGATCCCTAAAAACATCAGTCCAAAAACATAAGATAGAGTTTCTTCATAAAGTCTTACAAGTAAACAAACCAGTTAAGGGGCCTTTACCTGGTGACTCCAAGGCCAACATTATGTGGGAAGATAGTGGCGCCGTAAACATTGTTGTGACCATGAACAGCATCAATCCCATAGATCATAGGGATCCCAAGGCGTGTAGAAAGAGAAGCCTTTTGAATCTCATTGACCATGTTCACCCAAGTTGCAGGTGTTGCCTTTGGAGAAGGCACACTTCCTCCACCACTCAACACACTCCCTACACACACACATAAACCCCACAGTGTCAGCTCATTAAGACAATAGATCGAACACTTTTAACATAGACAAACTCCTCTTACCAATGAAGTACTTCTTCATGACTTCAGGTGTTGCAACGGTGCGTTCAATCTGAACCATCTGACCAATCTTCTCTTGGAGAGTCATGCGGTTCATTAAGTCCTTGATTCTTGCACCTAAGGGTTGTTTTGGGTCTTTGTACTTAAGATAAGTCCCAGCAGAAGCAGAGGCCATGACACAGTAGAGCAGGAGAAGACATAAAGCCTTACTCAAAGTCCCCATTTTTTTCTACAACAACAAGTGAATGTAAATCAGATCTAAGGTCTTAGTCAAAGGAACTGTTCCATTGTATATCAAAAATACAAACATAACATATTGCTAAGAGGAAACAAAAACACTTTGTAAATCCGAAACCTTTTATACCGGAAAGAGCTTAAAGTTCAAATCTTTGTGGAAAGATTAGATCTTTAGTTTGAAAAACAAGAAAAAGAGAAAGTTAAAATGGGAACAAAAACAGAGTCAAAGTAAGTGTCAAAAAAAAACAGAGTCAAGTAAGTATCTTTCTTTGGAAACAGAGTAAGGGTATTTGAAAATAGAAATCAATACTATAAGAAGGAGAAAGGAATAAGATTTACGAATGGAGAAGATGGAAGAAAGGAACTTACAGTCTTGGGAATGGGGGCAAGGGAGAGAGATAGAGGAAGAAGAAGACGATACTACTTTGTGCTTCTGAAGAGTGAAGAGGAAGAGGGGGTATTTATCTTGGTGAAAGTGTTGAATGATATCTCTCTCGTCTCTAGGAAACGATAGTGTGTGAGAGAGAGAGAGTGAGATGTTGAGAAGTGTGATGCTTCTTCTTCTTCTTCGTGTTTTAATAATGCTGAAAAGTTTCTCTCCTTTTTCCACGTAACTTCTCCTATTCTTGTTTTTTCTTATATGAAAATTTTTGTTTTAAAAAATTGTCTTTGTAATGGTCACTAAAAATAAGTTTTGAACCAATTTTGTAATAAGGAAAACAGAAATAGATAATTCACACGAAACGAATACATTATAACTTTTTTAAATTAATACTCTATAAATTAATATACAGTAAAAATCTTTATAAAATAATATAATTTTATAGTTTTAAAATTAAATTTTAGTTCAATTAATATATCGATAAATTAATAATTTTTATAAATTAATAAAAAATTGTAATTTTGATATATTTCCAATATTATTAATATATAAAATTTTTGCCAATATTATTAATATATAGAATTTTTAGCATCTTTAATTTCTTGTATGGTGTAAAACTTTTTATTCGCCCACTTGGACAATCACATACTATCAATTTTTTTTTTCTTTTGCAAATCTATACTATTATTTAAGAAGTAAATTTGCTTAGTTGTCATATTCTCCTTAAGTTTAGGTTATTTTATTTATTTCTCATATTTTAATATTTATCTATAATTTATTTATAAATAAAATGAATTTATATGAATATAACATATTTTTAGAAAATAAGATAATTCTTGTGAATTATGTTGTTATCTTGAACTATATTTTATATATATAAAACTTAAAATTTTAATTACGATATAAAATTATTATATTTATTATATAACTAAATTTTTTTATATTTTTATATTTTCTAAACGATAATTCTTATGTATTATGTTTTTACGTTGAAAAAATATTTTCCTATTATAAAACTTAAAATTAAGATATAAAAATTATATGATTAATAATTTTTATATTTGTAAAGTTATATTTATAAAAGGTAAAGCAAATAATATCAAAAGTTTGTTGATTTGTCATATTTTCCATGATTTTAGGTAACTTTGATAAATTATCATAATTTATATAATTTTATATATAATTTATTATATAATTTTAAAAAATTATACTGATAGTATCAGATTTTTAGAAAATAATATACTTCTTATATATAATGTTGTTATATATAATGTTGTTGTCTTGAAAATATATTTTTCTATTAGAAATTTAAAATTAAGATATATAAAGTTGTAATTATTCTATAACTAAAATAAATTTACATTAATAATGTTATACTTTTAGAAAATAAGGTAATGCTTATGTATTATGTTGTCATCTCAAAAATATATTTTATATTATATAA